ATTTTATAATTTATTAATTACGATGATTAATAATTTTCGAGATTTTGAAAAATTCTGTCAAAATTCGATGTTAAAATGCTTATAAAAAAAAATTGTGCCTATGTATTTTTAATATTTTTCAACTGATATTGTAACAATATATCAGGAGCCTTGTATTAAATTTTTACACTTTTTGGCCCAACAGATAAAACTTAATTGATATTTATAGAAAAAAAAAACTAAAAAAATTGAAAACTGAAAATGTCCGTAAACGGCTCAAAAAGTGTCAAAATATTTTCAAAATTGTAGGGTGTATAGGAAATGCTAATATAAACATTCAGTGAAATTTTCATGTATCTACAGTAATTCGTTTTTTAATTACAACAAAAAAAGGAAATTGCCACATGAGAAATCGAGTGAATATCCAATGTTGTAAAAATTTGAATTTCAAACGCTCATAAAAATTTAATTTGACTTTCCGGTAGAAATTTTTTTATTGATAAAGGTAGACAATCTTATGAGTAATCTTGTATTAGATTTTCAAATCTTAGATTTAAAAAGAAAAATTTTTACGAATTCTTAACTCAAAATAATTTGCTAATTTTCGTGATTTTTCCATATTTTGTCAATTTTTGAACTTTAAATGCTTATAAAAAAAAATTGTGACTAAGGATTTTTAATATTTTTCATCTGCCTTTGAAACAACATATTAGGAGCCTTCTATTAAATTTTCAAGCTTTCGCAACCAACAAATAAAATTTTATTGATATTTCTAGAAAAAAAACTAAAAAAAAACTAAAAATGAAAATGTCCCTAAACTGTTCAAAATAAATCAAAATATTTTGAAAATGTTATCGTGTATAGAAAATGCAAATATAAACAACCACTGAAAATTTCATGTATCTACGGTTATTTGTTTTAAAGTTACACCAAAAACCAAAATCGATTTTTTGGAAAACCGATTTTGCGTAAAAATTCCCGTTTTTCCTTCATTTTTATGTTGTTTTTCCCGGCGCTCTTGAAAACTACTGGGAAATTTAAATTTTGACCTCCCCAATGCACCAACGATATTCACTTTCCAATCGAACAAGATACTGAAGTCGAAAATCGAAGCATTATTTCGACTACTTATCGTGTACACAGACACAAAAAAAATAAAAAATAAAATAAAAAATAAAATAAAAAAAAAAACACACATCATTGTAAAATCAATACATTCATCGTTTCACTCAGAATCTAAAAAATATCTACCGGACAGTCAAATTAAATTTTTATGAGCGTTTGAAATTCAAATTTTTACAACATTGGATGTTCACTCGAATTCTCATGTAGGGATTTCCTTACTTTGTTGTTATTCATAAACGAATAACTATAGATACATGAAAATTTCACTGAATGTTTATATTAGCATTACCTATACACCATACAATTTTGAAAATATTTTGACTATTTTTGAGCTGTTTACGGATATTTTCATTTTTCAATTTTTTTAGTTTTTTTTTCTATGAATATCAATAAAGTTTTATCTGTTGGGCCAAAAAGTGTAAAAATTTAATACAAGGCTCCTGATATATTGTTACAATATCAGTTGAAAAATGTTAAAAATACATAAGCACAATTTTTTTTTATAAGCATTTAAACATCGAATTTTGATTGACTTTTTCAAAATCTCGAAAATTATTAATCATCGTAATTAATAAATTATAAAATGTTCAATTTTTATAGCTAAGGATTGAAAATTTGAAATAAGATTCCACGTAAGTAGTTAATTCTCTTACTGAAAAATCTAAAAAATATACAATCACAGTTTATTTTACAGTCATTTTATGTTCAAATTTGGACGAAAGTACATATTAAAAAACCTAGTTATTTTGTTGTGATTATATAATATTATTCGTGGGTACCTACTTGAAACTTCTAAAGTGTAATATTATATATCTATGAAAGTATCAGGGTTTGTTATTGATGTTGATGTATAACGTGTTATAAGTACCTAATGGATATTGATATTGTGATAATGTGATATGATTAATTTGGAATCTTAGTCCGTGCCATAGATAAAGTGACAAATGACAATACAGAAAACAACGAACACATGGCGCAGACCGCGGTAGTCGGTACCGACTACCGGTGCGCGTAGCTTATGCACTATGCAGAAATTCAGTTATGGCAGTTAGTAATTAGTATTCTTGTCTATGGTTATGCACTATGCAGTATGCACTGCTGCAAGTTGCAACACACTAATATTGTCACATGAATATTTAATATTAATACACCATTACAAAAGATATTCGGATCAAATACTGAACTTGAGACCTACACGGCTACACACCATATGGCTATATAGTATATTCCTACATGTTTATTATAATTTTAAGTTTTAAAAGTTAATAATTATACGACTGTTATACGTAATCACGTGCCTAAGTTAATAGTTTGGAGGGCTGCATAACAAAACGTGTAAGTACATAATAATGATCTTAATATATAATATGGTTTTAAGTAAATATTGTACATGTGTACATACCTATAAAATGCCTACCAATTATTACCTAGATGGGTGTTTTTGATAAAAATAATTAAATTAATTTGTTGATAGTGATAAAATAACTAATCATAAGTGTGACTTTTCGCTTGTCGCTCTACGCTTATAAAAAATATATTACATATTATATTATGACAATGACTCACACCAGTCACACCTGCAAATTGCAATCACACCTAACTAATTACTAAATAAATATATTCAGTAGGTACCTATCTAATTTATTATTTTTATTTAATTTATTTTGTTACAGTTTGTTTGATGGATAGAATTCTGTAATAATCATCAATATTAGAGAAGTAATGAATAATATTTTTAAACGCTATACTGATGCAATGAAGTTCCTTAATCCTTACTAAATGATAATAAACACTACCAGGGTAAGTAATTTAAATTAAATATTTATAATTGTTGTTTAGATTAATCACATTTTAATTTAGATTTGTTTGAATATGACTTTGTTGGTCATAACACTTAAATACCGAAAATAATTGTGCAGCATCTGATAGTTGCTTTTGGTGAAGTGGATTGGATTAATGCTCACAATATTTATGTTGGATACATAATGACAATACAAAATAGTATAGTAAGTTTATATATAGACTATATTATATTTATGTTTAAGAGTTAAGCATTATAAATTAGCCATAACTACAATTTAACATTTTAACCTGTTACAGTGTGTAGTGTCCTAAGCTTGTACCTAATAATAACTAGATAAATACATTCAATATTACCTTCACAATTTTGAGGCAACAAAAGAAATTAATGTTCTATTAACAATTTCTATTTTTGAGTAGAAGGTTTTTAGTATTTTGTATTTTAAAATTACTTTACTACTACCAAAATATATTGTAAAAATAAATAAATATCTATAAGTTTAGTTATTTAGATTCAAATCGTGCAAACTGCACTATGGATTGAAATTATAAGTATTAATCTGAATGTTGTTGTTATTGTTCATTAACTGTATGGTGTAGTCACCACCCATGGCCACCTTAAGATTTTTTTCTGTTGATTTATGTAGATTATATGAATATGAGCATATATTAAATGCAAACAAATATGACAGAAACTTTTATTAAAAAAACAAATTACGTAATCTGATTCAATATATAAATAAAATCAACAACTTTTTAACAATATTATAAAATTAATAATCAAAACTTGGTAATATTTAAGAGATAGATCTATGGGTTTTAAAATAAATAGAGTTTCATCAATACCACCTATATGGCTATATAAATTCAGAAGTACACATTTTTAATTCTTAAAGATTTTGTTAAGCGATGAATGAAAAAGTGACAAACAAGATATTGAAAAATATTATAACAATGTTCTCAACTGTTTTTTTTAATACTTTTTATCACCCATTTAATACATTGGTGTTGATGAATACAACAATAACCATAGTGTCAAAAAAACTAAAAAATTATTATTATTTTCAAATAAAATATAAATGACTGACCATAGAAGGGGTAGTGGCTATAGGTGGCGACTCCACCATACAAAAATAATATTATACTTTGGTATAAGTTCTTAGAACTTCTGAAACAAACAATAATTATTAATTACTATAAGTTATAAGTATTAGCTATAAGTGTGTGACTCTGTATGGTGAAGATTTTCGTAAATTTCAAAACAACACCTGGTTAATGGAACTGTGATTGACGCACTGCTATTGACTTATGTGAATAATGAAATTGGTTATATTCCTGTGGAAATAAGCAATACAATTTGGTCAAGTACCAAAGTTAAAATAGCCAAATTTGATTGGACTAAATACTGTGTGTTATTTCTACCTATCAATCCTGAAGGTAATCATTGGACTTTATTTATTATGGACTTCATTTGGGTTGTGTATTTTACTTGGATCCTCTGCGTCCAGAATCAGGTGACTTGTACTTACCTCGATTAAAAAAAATGATGTTTTCAATGTGTGGTAATGAAAAAGCAAAATATTTGCTGCATAAAATGGTTCTTAAAAATATTGAGTATCCTTTACAGAATGATAGTAACAGTTGTGGAGTGTTTGTGTTGTATTATTGTAGTACATACAATCCAATGTTTACTCAGAGCTTTTCAAAGGAAGTTAATGTGAGTGATTTAAGAAATACATTGCAGCATCGATGTTTAATGTACTCTGATAATATCAGTGAAAGATGCCTTATGTGTGCACAAAATATAAAAGTAAGTTTTACTTGGATTAAGTGCAATACATATGAGCGAAGAGTTCTTAATGTGTGTGTAGGTGGTGTATGCTACAAATTTATGACTAAAGAATTCAAAATTGTAACGATACCAACTTCTGTTTTTTAAAAATTGATATAAAGAAATATCGTATTATTGTACCTGTAATCACTGTCTGGGTAAAAAATGTTATTTTAATATTATTAACTATAATTTATAATAGTAATTATAAATTATTTAACATTTAATATTTTAATTATTAAATAATTTATAATTTGTATACAAAATGTATCATAACTATGCTCTACAAAGTATGTATTTATTTTCCTTTTATTAATTTATCATTTAAATAAAATAATATTTGTTTTCTAGTTCCCTAAGAGAATATTCTACTTTATAATAGTGACGACGAGGAAGACTTTGATGGTAAATTGTTGAGCATAAAATTCTAATGATCTATTTATTTTTATTTAAAATATAATACCATTTGTTTTCTAGTTCCCCAGGAGGATGTTCAATTAAGTGATGGGGATGATGAAATTGATGGTAAATTTCAAGGTTTAAATTATGAATGATCTTGTTCTCTGATCTCTATAATATTCACTATTGATTACAATATTATTTATGTTTATATTATAGCAGGTCCAGTAAATTTTAATGTGCCACAGCAAGCTCCTGAAACCTATTTTACTGTGCCTGGGATCTGTCTCAATTCTTTAGTATATATGGATAACATTGGGTATAAATACTATAAGAATATAAGTCGTAACAACAAAATGTGAGTACTTATCATAGTTTATTACGATTACAGATTATATGAATTTTAACAAACATAATATTTTAATGAGTTAGGTACTTAGTATGTGAAAATCAAAAGAATAAGGCTGAATTCTGCCCATCGACAGCAATAGTGAGTGTGGATATAAATGAGAATTGGTTAAGATCAAATATAAGACACAACCATTTTCCACCTATTGTGGACATTCCAGTGGCCCATTTGAGGAGGAGTATTGGCATTGCAGGCACAACTACTGGAAGACTGTCAAACTCAATCAGACATATCTATAATAATGAAATAGTTGAGTAAGTACAATTTTGTATGATTTATGAACAATAACTATGAAATTAATAACCATACAAATCCTTTTATTTTTACTCAATATGATTAATCATAGTGCTGATAATATATTTTGTATATGTTATAGAAACCCTGATGGAGCAAAAAATTACACATTTTTACAATGCCAATCAAGAGTAAGGAGAATGCGACAATGTTCTCGTCCACAAAGTGTCGATACAATTGAAGAACTCTCAAACATTCTGAGCCTGGAACAAAATAAATCTTACTCATCAACCTTGCAGCGTCCACCATCAAGGTAAATTTTTTGAATGCCAAACTATTAATTAAAAAACACATTGATTAAATTTATATATCTATTGCTTTCTAATTTTTGTTTAGATTTTTCTAAGAAACATTTGAAGCTGACGAGGAAGTTGTTGGCGTAATTTTTTTCAATTTAGACGCCATTCAAAAATATTAGCATGAACTTTTATCTGTCAACATTGCAGGAGTGGACGGAACGTTTAAAACAGTGCCTAAACGTCCTCCTCAATTTAACAAAGGCTGCCTTCTGACATTTCATGTACTATTTAAAAATGTAGTAAGTTTATGATTACAAGTAATTATTTTGTAAGTAATTGGTCAGCTCTTTTTTTGGTGTCTAGTCTAGTGTGTCCAATTTTATTTACATTCATACCTTATTTAATATTTTATGATCTAATACCTAACTTAATTTTGTCAAGTCTTTTCCAATGGTATATGCATTAACCGAAGCAGCATATAAGTCATTTTTTAGAGTAGTTAGAAGAGTACTACCATTAAATTATGCACAAATCACTATTATTACGGATTATGAAAGAGCTTTAATGACCGCCGTAAAAAGTATTTTTCCTGAAAGTAAACTTTGTGGTTGCTGGTTCCACTTCTGTCAAGTAATGTCATGTTAAGTTCTTATGCTTCCTGTAACAATTATAATTATAATTATTTTTTATCTAGTCCGTTATCCGATACTGCCGAAGGAGTTTAAATAGTGTATTCCACTTATTCCAAAATAACCCTGAAGCTAATAGAGTTCTGCGTATGGTAATATTATCTTATTCTAGTTATTATGTTTAAGGCACTTAAATGTATGTACCTAATTCATACTTTTAAATTTTAATGATCAATCATTTTTAGGTTTTAGCATTACCACATCTTCCTGCAGAAATACACCCGGAATGTCGTTTTACTATGAGCGATGGGTTTCATGCTATAATTGAATATGTAAACCAGTATGACCATATTTCGGAACGCCTTCATAATTTTTAATTGGTTACATTCAACGTTTTTGGTTTGATCAAATAGGTTGAGCAATTATTACTGTTTTTGGGTAATTTATATTTAATAAATAAGGATAATCATTTTAAATTACCGAAAATGAATGTTCATTTAAATTGTATGTTTGAAGGTCAGACATTCGAACCAACAACTATTTGGAATCGTTTCATAGAACCTTACTAAGCCAAATAGGAAGAAACCCCAATATTTGAGATTATTTATGTAAACATAATCCTAGATATCAGCGTTTGTGTATTATTTATATTTGTTTGTGTTGTATTTTACCAAGGCTGGGTAAGTTATAATTTAAGTCTATTTCTCCTATTATGACTAAAAAAATGTATAATAATGGTTATAATATTGCATATCACCCATAGTGAATTAAAGTATTCAAATCAAAAACCCGATTGTTTTGTTCTCACCAACTCTAATGAAATTGTACAAATAACTAAATTTAAAAAATCTTCTGATTTAACTACAGTTTTTATTGGTAAAATATTTGAAGAAAAAGAAGATATTTTTATTAAACCTCTAAAGTCATCTATATTAAATATATTTGTTATAAACAAATTATCAGAGCATTTAAAACATTGGAATATTTCTGATATTAAAAATAAAATGCTTGTATTTGATTTGAATGACAAACTTACTGCGGTACCTATACTTCATCATAGTTAAGTCAATACGTTGATTTAATTATGATGCATTGATGTATTTGTTGATACATGTATTGATGTATCTACATAATAATAATAATTATTATTATTATTACAAGTACCTTACCTATTACCTACCTTTTTTTTAAAAAGTTTTTAATTTAATTATTTAGTATATAATATAGTATCTACCTATCTATAACTTATTATTTTAATTTTAATATTTATTATTATTTAATATAATTAATTATGTATGCAGGTACCTAGGTATATCAACCTTTATCTATAGTCTGTATAGGTATAATTTTTATATAATAATATAATTAATATGATACTGTTTTAAAAATTCTGTTAGTTCATCAAATTTTTAAATTTTTATAGGTAGTTTGTACCTAGATAAAACAAATTGAGTTATGTTGGGTTTACCTATATAATATTTACAATTAGTACTTTCACTAAAATATAACATTTTAAATATCTACATTTATGTATGAATATGTTTTCCTGTCTCTCTCTTTCTATACAAACATACCTATGTTTTTTGTATGATTATATATTATGTTGTAATAAAGCAATTCATTTCAGTAATATGTGGAGTGTTGTTTGCTTTGAAATTGACGACTCTGTAGATTTCATTCCAAACTTTTGGATGGACAAAGGAGTTTGTGCTTGGCCAAAAATAAGAGCTAACGTGCGTAGCTACATTGAAAAAAGAGTAGACCCGGCTGAAAACCCAGATGCATTTATTTATTATAATGCACGTATAATGAGTCAAGATATTGGTAAGTATAGGTAATATAATTATGTATAATTTAATAATTCTATGGATTTACATTAATTAATATTTTTTTATAATTTAATTTTAGCTCAAATTGAAGTAGCTCAATTAAAAGCTAGAAAAGCACAAGTAACATCAGACTTATCGACAGACCATGAAAATATTATTGAAAAGAAAAATCACACATCCACACAGCGAAAACGTTATTTAAACAATTCTAAACCACCAAGTCCACCTTTATTTAGTTTGAGTTGTGATGGTAAGAAAAAAATCCATTATAAAGATTTCATAATATATAAATATATAATTATTAAATATTATATTGTTTCAATATATATAGTCTTATACAGATATTGAAAGTGAAACAATATACCTAGTATTTTAAATTTTATATTTATAATCTTCATCCCATCATGAAGTGCTAATAATGAATAGCTTCTTCATCAAGCCAACCATGACCATTGACTATAACAAAAAAAAAAAAATATATTTATTTTAAGTGCAACTGCAATTTTTTTTTTCATTTCCTAACCCTTAACCTTATCCATCTTATAATTTATATTAATAGTAAAAATGTTATGGCTAATCACTATCTGGAGTGTACAATTTAAAAAAGTTCTAAATTAATAAATAAAGTATTATTATAATGTTATATGACTGTAGAAATATTATATTTATTATTTGTTAATTATAAATAATTAAATTACAGAATTTGATGGAGATGATTCAGATGTGGACAAATCATATAACCCAAAAATGAAAAATAAATTATTTGAAGTGTCATTATCGCCACCAAATAATTATGAAAGTAAATCAGATGGTTATTCAACTCCAATTAGTTCTCAATTGTCTGATACAAATAATAAAAGACTTAAGTTTGATCCAGTTGATGAACTCCCATCAACATCTAAAAACATTGTCAGTTAAAAAACTTGATTACGAAAATCAATATAAAGGTATTAACAAATTCCATAATTTATTATCTTTATAAAACGTAAAAAAAAAAATTTACAAAATTTATTTTATAGATTTTTGTATAAATGATTTAATTTTACATGTCAATTCAAGATGGTTTTAATTGTATTTTAGTAGGTACAGTAAAACTTTCTTGAAACGGACACCCCATAAGACAGAAATCTCCCTAAAGGAAAATAACAACGTCCTTGAATAACTTATCGCGTATATTTTAGTCTCCCTATAACGGAAAAATTTGTCAGCCCAAGCGATTCCTTTATAGAGAGGTTTTACTGTACCTACTTTGAATGTATAAATGTATATTATATACAAGGGCGTCCCTAGACCGTTTTCAAGGGGGGGGGGGCGAACCTATGTTTTAAATCGATATATTATGCTTACGGTATTAATAATAATAATAATAAATAAATAAATACAATTATACAATGAAATATTATATTATACAATATAATAATAATAATAATATTAATAATAATAAATAAGGATAGTAAATATTATAAAAAAAAATCTATTTTTCGTTTGTTTTTTGCAAACCGGTCAATTATATTATTTATGTCTACATCTATATTTCTATGCACATGCATTAATGCCAGTCCAGTCAATCTGCTTTGCCCCATTTGGCTCTGATTTTAATCTAAAAATCATGAAATAAATAGCAAGCAATTAGGTGAAAGCAAACTAATGACTACCGCATTATGGCATTATTCAAATAAATTTATAGTGTAAGCAAACGCAAAGTAAGCAAAATTAAAGCTTAAAATATAACATAAGCATAAGCATTGTTTCTAAAACAAAAGATCAATGGTATTGCTGTGAAATAAAATGTTATTAAAATTGTAATACTAATTTATAATATACAACCTGCGAAGTGTTGAAAAGCTCCTCTCTGCAGAAGCGACACTTACAGGAAGTGTTCCTAATATTAATAAAAGCTCTCTTATAAGCGGAAAAATTAAAGTATGGCATTGTTCAATAGACTGAAAAACGTCTTTCGGAGGATTTTCACCTACAGAAATTTTCTACTTAGGTTTAGGTATAACAATAAATTAAAATTTTAATCATTAAAATTTTGTTGACATAGGTAATAGTAATTTTATACATTCAAAATTGTTATGGGGGGGCGAACGCCCTTTCGCCCCCCCTTGGGGACGCGCCTGATTATATATAGATACATTCAAAGTTTTAAAAAATACAAATATATCAGACATTTTTAATTACATTTTAATGTATTTATTTTTTCCAGACTTTCAAAAATTGGTTAGCAGACAACATATTGTTCTCAAACATGAAGTAAAAAATATACAAGATCGTCTTGATATTATTATGTGTATGCAAGAAAAAATTAATGAAAGATTACAAGGATGTGTATCTGCCAATATTACCGAAGATTCATTTGATAACACTATAACTCGTGTGGATACTGCTACTGATTTAAATGATCTTGAGGACAAATTATTAAACGATACAACATATAAAAAAAAATTGGTATTAATAGCAAATTACATTACTTTCAAATTATATAAGATTATAATTACTGAATTGTATTTTGTATGTAGATTAAAGAACTAGCTCGTTACAGAGGACAGAATTTGTCTGAAACTATAAGAAAAATTATGCAAACATTATTCACTGATAATTGTCTAACTAACTACTCCTACATAGGATTCAAAGGAAAAGAAAATT